GCCTGACCATCTCAATCTTCCAATAAGAACTGATGGGAACCAAAACATTGTTAGTGCTAACCACTTTGTTATCACAGCTCTCACACACCGGCCATCAAGGCATCTGTGTGTGTCCTGCTGCCAACAACACAACCTTTTATCCTCCACCTAAAGGAGAGGCCTGCTGACTCACTCTTTCTTTATCATTGTCCATAAATTTCATGTGAAAACAACCAACAATGATGCTGATATCTCCTCTTCCTCTGAGCCACACAGCTCCACCGTCCATCAAAACACTATTAAAAACACATCAATGAGCCACACTGTTGAACTGGGCGACATTTTCCTTTATTACCATGAACACACACACACTGTGATTTATTTAAGCCACAGCTCAAAACAGACTGTGGTGTTGTGTGAATATACCTCAGCTAAGAGGCCGTGATCACAGACGGCCGTTACAGATACATTCAACCTGAAACTGATTTTATTGGCATGCTCATAAAGCACTGTTCTTAGAAGGAAATAGGTGGTTGCTATGCAACAAAACATCATTAGCTTATGCATCTCTGCATGTTGTCTTTTGGGTCCAAATGATTTCCCCTGTAGATGTATAAACAGAACGGGATAAAGTGTTGAAGGCAGCACCAGATTTATTCCAATGAGAGTTGCTCAGTGGCGCATGAAGCCAAGGTAAATTGAACAGGGATAAAATGAATTAATCTTATGGCTGTTCTGGTCCCTTTAAATGTTTTCGTACCGAACAGATCAAATCCCAATCCTGAGAGTTGTGACTTTTTCCCGATACAGGCGGGAATGGCCTTAACCAGGATTTATACTTCTGCGCTGAATTGACGCTGTACGCCATACCCTTCACTGTAGCCTGATGTGCACCTCCACAGAAATGTAACTACACGTCACAGCGACGCAGACCTCCTGTCTCTGTAAACCTGGCTAGGCTAATTTATACAATGTAAAATGCCATAGGCTTGTGCTAATAACGTTAGCATGTTGTATTTGTTTGTAAAACGTGTTTAGTATAAGACAGTTGTTTTGTCAGTGAACCTTGTGAGATGTAATGGAGCTGAATTTTGTAACGTTAACTTTGTTAAATGTTGCTGTTGTCACTGGTTTAATATGAGAAGAGGAAAAGTCTGCTAGCAGCTATGCTAATTTATACAATGTAAAATGCCATAGGCTTGTGCTAATAATGTTAGTATGTTGTATTTGTGGGGAAAATGTGTCCAGATAAAGACAAGTGTTTGTCTGTGAATGCTGCGAGTTATAGTGAAGCTGATTTGTGTTTGACACTGTCTATATTAAGCCATGTTTAATGTGTGTTTAATGTGTGTTTAATGTATGTTTAATGTGTGTTTAATGTCTGTTTTGAATCAACTAAACTTTACAGCACTTCACAGAAACCACATTGCTAACTAGTGTTTTGGAGGTGTAACTGCAGAGTGACACAGACACACCACAGCTCAAGTAAAAATGCTCACAATGGTGTAGTTCATGTGCTTAGGCCATGGCGTTGACTCTGCGTAGAGCTGACGCACATGTATAAATCTGCCTTTAAATATAACGTGCTGCAGTTGTTACATGTAAGTTTTCTTTTGCTACAGAAATGTCATCATAATGTCATCATGATGTCATCACGTTGGCATGGGGCGAGAATAGTAGTGAACATATCTGAGAAACATCAACAGGATTCGTCCACTCTGCAGGAAACTGGAAAACCAGTTTAGCACAAAATCAAAATTAAGTCCGAGGGATAGACTATTTTTCAGTATGAAGTTGTATTTATATGATGTGGAGCTAAAATCCACACGGCTGTCTGCGTGTGATTGTTCTCCAACAGTGGGCATAGTTTTCACATGTCATGCATGCATATTATGGTCTGTAAGAGATGCCAAAGAACGGACAGGACCAGCGGCTCAACTGTAACACGTGTTACGTTTTTAACTGCCTAGGTTTGCGAACACAGCTCAATAACTTGACTTGTATTTATATATATGATATATGTATAACTTGTATGTGTGTTTGTATTGTGTTTGCTAGCTAACTAGCTTGTGGGGCTAACTTTTTTTGCTGTTACGCTCAGTCAGGTACAAAACTCCATAAACAAGCTACGTTTATGGAGTTAATAAAGTGTCAGGAGATATTGTTCACATATTGTTCAACAACTGCGTGAAAACTGAGAGCAATGAGCCCTGAAAACTGCACCACCAGATAGAGCTACACAAACATTAGAAACATTAATGTTAAAGATCTGTTTACACGTACTGAGCTCCTCTAGATTACATCATTGCTACTGATTTTTAGAAGAATCTTAAGAAAATAGTGCAACAAAAAGGCAGTACACACCCTGCTGCTGTTAATACTTACTGGATCAACAAATGTGTGTCCATCCGCAGCTGAAAATAGTCCCCAATAAATACACTGTTTCCTCCTGTTTGAGTAATGTTTGCTACAAACCACAGTGACCAGGTGTCTCAGGAGTTACTGAGCCTTCTTTAAAGATATAAATCAATATTTGTGACCTGTTTTAAAGATTTACGTCTTCAGCAGGAGCCAGACGGGGCAGGAAAGTCAGAGAGTATCGAGGGACTGACAAACATGTTGTTGGTTTGTCTTTGACCTTCAACTTTTTCACTCTCGTCTCACTCTGAACACATTTAACGATTTGTGATCAACCAGCCAGTGAAGTGAAACAATACCTGATCATCTCAGCATCACAGAGTTAAAGCAACATCAAGTTTTCCATCTGCAGTGTAACAAACACAAACAGTGTGAGTGCAGCTGACTCCACAGAGACACTCAGACAAACAGCCCTGCAAACGTGATGGAGTAGATGTGTGTTTCTGTGTGTGTTTTACTTCTCTCCAGGAAAGGTGAGAAGAATGGAGTCTTTTTTCTACCCCCACCGTCCGGGCAGCCTGAGTCTAGACTGAGCCCCAGATGGGGGATTCATAAACTGCAACAAATGAAGACAAAATGCTTCCAGCTGCCCTCGGCGGCCGGCTGGGAATGGGCTCATATATGTGTGTGTGGGGGACATTTGACAGGGTCTGCTCTGGTGTCCTGCAGCTCTGTCCTCTCTGAGCTGCAGAGAAGACACTTTGCCTGCAGTGTCATTTATCATCAGGAGAATGTGTTAGCACACAGCCAGATCTGATCCTGTCAAATATGCAACTGTATCTCAGGAGCAAACAACGCTGCTGCAACAATCGATTACAAGAATCATTGATTAATCTACTGATTGTTTTCTCATTCGATTGTTTAGTCTGTAAAATGTCAGCAAACGGTGAAAATGCAGATTGCATTTGACCGATGTTATAATCATAGAAGAGAAGAATAACCAGAATATATCAGCATTTGTGACGCTGGAACCAGCTGATGAATGAATAGTTGATCACTAGAATTTTCTATCGATTGACAAATCTATTTCTCGACTACTCTAGATTTACTCTACTGTGAACTTTTGCACATCCTGCACAAAACTGTAGAGCTTTATTCTGAAACAGTTTTAGTTTACAGTTTTATATCTTTGTCATAATTTTGTAACTTTTCTGTTCTATATTTATGTTTTCGAGTGTTGCAGTACTTTGCCTTGTTTTTATTTCCTCTTAAAATGTTTAATTCATGTTTAATGTATTCTTTGTAAGTGAAAACCTGGTTACAAATCTCATTCTGATTCTGATTATTTCATTTTTAGATTTAAATTATGTAAAATCTGTGAATCAGATTAATTTCTGTTGATCCACAAATCAATTAATCGACCAATAGTTTCATCTTTAGATCTAATTTATGTAAAAAGTCTATTTATAGATGGAAAGGGTAAGGTAAGGTAAGGTAAGGTAAGGGAAAACTTTAATGTTCCTGAGGGCAGTTGGAGATAGTCGGCATGAGTGCAACAAAAGAGACACGACAATACAAACACACTCAAGTATCACACAGTCAGTGGTGACCAGAAGAGTCTGTCTGAAGCTGCTCAAATCAAAAATCAAATATCCAAATGATTGCAGATCAATGTTCTGTAATCCACAAATCAATTAATCAAATAATAGTTTCAGCTTCAGATTTTATTCATGAAAAGTCTAGAAAATTTTAATATTAAATGGAAGATTTTGCAACGTTTGGCTTAAAGTTGCCCAAAATAATTAGGCCAAATTGAATATCAAAATGACTGCAGATTAATTTTCTGTTGATCCACAAATCAATGAATGCACTAATAGTTTCATCTTGAGATTTGATTTATGTAAAAAGGTCTATTAATGGATGAAAAGTGTGTGTTTGTGCTGTCCCAGTAATTTGGGCTTCAAAACTGCCTATAATAATTAATGGAATATCAAAATGACTGCAGATTAATTTTCTGTTGATCCACAAATCAATGAATCCACTAACAGTTTCAGCTTCAGATCTTATTTGTCTATAATATAATAAGTCTATGATTTAGCCTGGCTGAATGAACCCGCTGCAGTGACATGTCTCTATGTTCTGCTGTCAGCCAACATGAGATGTCACATTTCAGCCTATAAGGTCAAATGGATCCTCAACATCACCTCCGTCAGGCCTCGAGGAGCAGCTCTGCATTCACCTGTGTGTCTCCTGTGCTCAGGTGCAGACTAACTTATCTACAGTCCTCTCACGTACACACTCACCTTACAGATAAAACACTCCAGAGCCAACTTTTCCTGCCAAGGGCGAAACTTAGCGAGGCTCTGCGGGCTGAGTGTGAGCGGCACGCACAGATGCGTCACTGACAGCGGTGTGTCGGGAGGTGTGTGACCTTTCTCTCCGGCGGCTCTGCGTCCTACAGGTCCGGCTGCCTGTGTCACTGATGCAGTGCACTCGCTCCAACAGTACGTGGCTCAACTTATGCACTTATACTGCATGCATCCGAGGCAGCGGCAGAAACGCATCGAGCTGAAAACACGCCAGTCATTCCTTCAGTAGGACGAAGGAAGGAAGAATGGATGGATGGATGGATGGATGGATGATGCAGAGAGGTGTCTACTCACCAGATACTGTGATGTTATCTCTGGAGCAGCAGCAGCAGCGTCTGTCTCCCACTGATGATGAGATGCTGCAAATGAGACACTGCGGTCCACATTTATCCGCTCTCTCCAGATCCGTGTGTGTGTGTGAGTGTGTGTGAGTGTGTGTCGTGTGAAGGGATGAAATTAGGGAGGAAGAGGGCGGTCTGTTTCACGTCAGGTGGGAACAGACGTGATGCGGAGAAAACGGACAGATCCTCGGTGTTTTAGTGTCCGCCTCAGCTCTCACACATCTCAACTCTTCCACTCTCTGTCTTCGTCTTCTCCCATCCAGCCTCCTCTCCCTCCCTCTCTCCCTCCCTCCCCACCGGGCTGGGCATGCCCAGTCTCTGCCTCCTCTTCATCAACACCACTTCATTACTTGCAGATTCAAGTTGGTCTGTTTCACTGGCTCAAAGTAAAGTAGGCGACATTTACTCATCAGTATCGGCCGATATCGTCTTTAAGTGAAATATAGGAATCGGCCAACATGCCGATTATTTGCCCAAATGATAAACCGATATCTATCTATCTATCTATCTATCTATCTATCTATCTATCTATCTATAGGGCCTATATATGTATAAAGAAAGACATGATTGGTCGACTATCAGGGCTGCACCCTGATAGTCGACCAAACGTTAGTTGTTAGTCGGCAAGACAAACAAAATCGTGAAATTCTTTTAGGAGCTGCGCCTTGTCAAAATAAATCAAAACCTTAATGTGAAAGGACAGACACAGGAAGTGTCCACGCTCAACAGTCAGACAGAAGTCACATTGCAAACCAATCACAGCCGACAGATATCGTTCCCTTCATCAGTAAATATTCAGTCTGATAAACACAGAGATGTTGATCATGTTAGTGCAGAGCTACCCAGAGCGTCACATCTGTCCCACAGACGACAGGCCTACACACTTATAAACAGCTCCTGGAAGAAGATCAGCTCTGACCTCAGGATTTCAGGTAAACAGGCTATATGATGATTGTTGAAGGGATAGTGCAGCCAAAAATGAAAATTCAGCCATTATCTACTCACCCATATGCCGAGGGAGGCTCAGGTGAAGTTTTAGAGTCCTCACATCACTTGCAGAGATCCAAGGGGAGAGGAGGTAGCAACACAACTCCACCTAATGGAGGCTGACGGCGCCCCAGATTCAAACGTCCAAAAACACATAATTGAAACCACAAAATATCTCCATACTGCTTGTCCGTAGTGATCCAAGTGTCCTGAAGCCCCGACATAAAAAGCTGTTTGGAAAAACCTCATTTGAACTCTGTTTTTAGCCTCATTGTAGCCTGTAGCTCTGACTGCCTCTCTGGGCACCGCGCTCATGTGTGTGTACTTGCACGAGACAGTGAGACATGGGCACTGCCTTCATGTGTGTTCAGTTATGTGTTTTTGGACGTTTGAATCTGGGGCGCCGTCAGCCTCCATTAGGTGGAGTTGTGTTGCTACCTCCTCTCCCCTTGGATCTCTGCAAGTGATGTGAGGACTCTAAAACTTCACCTGAGCCTCCCTCGGCATATGGGTGAGTAGATAATGGCTGAGTTTACATTTTTGGGTGCACTATCCCTTTAAGATTGCTTAGCAACCTCAGATACAACCTGCCACCACACTCTTGGAAGCTGGCTCAAAACCTTGCCTTTTCCAGGTGGTTAAAGACGCAGCGTGTGCACGGCCCGTATATCTACAGAGGAAGTGAGTCCTCATCATATACTGTATCAGTAATGGACGTAGCTACCGTGACGTCAACCACTGGTTTGTGGACTGTCATTTTGAAGCCCTGAGTTTAGGATTTATGCAGTTGCCATCTTGGCTTTTTGAAGCCAGAAGTGACCATATGTGGATGAGAGGGTGGAGCTGTGGAGGAACGTGGGGTGGATCTACCGACGCCTCACAGACAGCTTGTCACTCAAGTGGCCACTCCCTTAAATATATATAACTTTGGGCCTTAATAAATGTAAACGGGTGAGTTATATAAAAATTCACCCCTGTACAGTCATGAATGTTGAAGCTAGATAAGGAGACCAAAACCTTTTTTGTATCAGGCTGTAAACATGTTTATTTCTGCTGTAAAGTTGGGTATTTTACTGTGTGGGGATTGACTCTGATTTGTAGTCAGCCTCAAGTGGCCGTTAGAGGAACTGCAGTTTTTGGCACTAAGGACTTGGCTTCATTTTTCAGTCTCAGAGGTTGCCGCTTGGTCCTCCTCCACGGGTCTGCTATGTTGCACCACCATGTTTCTACAGTAGCTCAGAAAGGGCAAACCAAACACTGGTTCAAGATAAGGCCATTTGTGTTTTCATGATTTTTGTGTTGGCCACTGTGATTAGAAGCACATCTGCATCAAGCAACGTCTGATTTGTAATATGACACTTTATTCACTGTTTCTACCAATTTAAATCAATGGGTCCGTTTGTTTGGATTGTAATAGACCTTTGCGGATAATTCAGCTCCCGCTAAAAACCTGCTGAATGTCTGGATCTTAAGCTATCAGAGAAAAAAGGTTTAGCAGCTAAAACATTAGCAGGTGTTGAGCTAGCAGCCCGTCCTGATGAGCTGAACAGCATCAGAGAAACACTGACTGATAACATGAAACTGCTTTAATCAAAATTTTACAGGTTTAAATCAGCGGGCCTGTTTTTGGCCTGAGAGGAGGAGACCTCTGTGGATACCTCGGCTCCTGGTAAAAAACCTCCTGAACAATAAACGCTGAAGGAATTCTAACAGGGAGAAGTTTGAGCTGGTTGCAATCTGCAGTCCTGCACCATTAGAAGCCACTTAATCCCTTAAATCTTACACACTGGACCTTTACGTCAAATTTCAACAGAATTTTGATGCTGATACTTTTGTAATTTTACTTCAGTAAGATTTTGAATGCAGGACATTTATTAACAAAGTATTTTTGCTGTCTTAACTTTCTTCCACTACTGGTAGCAGAGTTGAAAAAACAATTTGCAAGAACTGTAAAATAAGGAAAACCAAACTCCAACTAAGATGTCATGTGTGGTTTTGAGGAAAGACAGAGAAATAGAAAGTTTCCAATTTAGAAAGCCTTGAAGAAATACGTCAGAGTGCAGAAGACATACATTTAAACACATTTTGCATCCTACCACTGCTTGAACCTTGTTTGTAGGCTACATAATAAAGAAAATCCCTTAGCTTCTCTGAAACAATACATATATTTAAATATATAATATATGTATTAGCTGTAACATAGAGATTTGGTTTGAAGGTGACAGTTCCCTCTGAAATTCTGCACACACTCTATTCAGGTGCTTCCTGATAGTAATGACACTGATTATTTCCATGGGGAAATAAATACATTCCTTGTGTGATTAAAGTAATGTGAGGACGCCTTGAGATGTCCATGAGTTTCCTCTCATTGTCCTCTGGAGTGTAACAGCCTGGCTGTTGTTTATGTGGGATAATGAACTCATCTTCATATCACTGTGACCTGAATGTTAATAAAGTCAGGAAACACTCTGAGGAAATGCCTTGAATGAGCTGCCCTACAAAAACACAATACAGTAGCCTCACTATATATTTAGTCAAAATAGACTTTTGACGTCTCTTTTCAACCATTATTATGCAATAAAAATGTGTCTGAGGAAAAAAGCATGTAATATTTAGAGTTAATTAAATTAAAGGTACTTGAGGCTAGCTGGTGAGTTAGCTTACCTGTAGCTAATTAAGCCTACTCACTTTTTTCAAGTTTCCTAAAATTTAAAAATCAATTTTTTAGCTCCACCATCTCCGACAATGGAGTTTGATCATCTAGACATATGCAAAAACAAATAATAAAGGAGAGAAATAACACCAGATAACCTTGTCCTGCTAAAAGCTAGCTAGCAGAGAAGGCTAGCAGCTACTGCTGTCTCTACAGCCTCTGATGAAATTCCAGCTAATTGAGGCTAGCTGGTGGGTTAGCTTTAGCCGAGGCTTGTTTACCCACCTTTTTTTCTGGTTTCCTGAAATTAAAAACAAACAAACAAACAAACAAAAAACTCTAACTTCTTAGAAACTAAGTTAGTTATATGACGTTAAGGCAATCTTAATGTCATGGAGAAAGAAGAAGTTGGCAGATAAACTAGCCCTGCTTAAAGCCAGCTAGCCTTGGTTAGCATATTAGCAGACACAGGACAAAGCTGAAGAAGAAAGAACATATTTTGTTTTTGGATAAACATAGAGGGCAGTGTCTAAATGTTATTATTATTTTTTAAGGTTTTTAAAGTTATCCAGTGGTGGAAAACAACAATATGTACCATGGGTGCAGATCCCAGGGGGGATGGGGGGGACATGTCCCCCCCAAATTCTGAAAAACACAAATTGTCCCCCCCAATTCTAAATAGCCTAAATGATTGAAATTGAACAAATGTATACAGTAGTCCTATATACTGGGAGAAAGGGAAGATGATGAGGAGAAATGGGAATCCGTGAGAGGCGAGAGATGAGAACGTGAGTGGACATAACATGCCTGAGACCCTGAAACTAGAAGTAGCATTAACTAACAATGACATAACAGTGAAAAGGAGGGTGATGGCTGGTTCCATGTACTACTGGCTGTTTAAGAGAAATAAACAGTAAAGGTAAGCATAAGAATATAATTATAATAGTAGTGCTTTTTGAATGACTTGGTGATGGTGATGAGCCTCTGAAATCGTGAAATATGCTGGCAATCTCAAGCGCTCTGTGGGCATGATTTGCACGCGTGCAATTAAAAAAAATCAGAACTGATTGTGTCCCCCCCAAACTTGTCATTAGATCTGCACCCATGCACATACCGTACGTCTACTTAAGTAGGCTACAATGTCAGGCTGTGCTCAGGCACTGTTCGTATAAATCAATGAAGAAAGACAACACACACTCTGAAAAAAGAAGAAAAAAGTCTGGAGGTGCTCGGCAACAGAACAAGGGTTAGAAAAAGAAGAAAAAGCCAGCAACACTCCTTTGTTGGCAACTTTTAATACCTCACTGGTACAGATGGTTAAACACACAGACCGGTTTCGACAAGTGTCTTCCTCATTGTGTGAAAAGTCTTTCCCCCTGAACGTGAGGGGAAGGATAAGGAGACACAGGTGAGGCTGATCAGGGCGGGACAGACAATCAGACAGGAAGTGATGTGATCTGAAACGAGAGAAAATGTGAGTTTCAACGTAAAACAGGAAACAACATGAGTGAATAGAACAAAATAAAAAACACGACCTCAGAAAGTTGAGCTGTAACAGGTTCAGGCGTTAAGGTTTTACAGCAACACATTTTGGTTAACTTCACTGTTCCTGTTCTGTTCT